GTAATAACTTCAATTTTATAAAAGTACGTCCACTGGAAATAAGAATCGATTTTAGTTTATTATAGTTTCTTTTGAAAAAAGTTATATAATTTTCTTCGACTATTAATTATTATTTAAAAGTGACATATTATGATTATATTTTTTTTATATTTTTTTATTTAAGATTCAATTTATGACAAATGATATAGGATTAATTGTTAAATTTAATATAAAACGATTCGATAATTAGTTCTGGCTTTTGAAATATTCAATATATATTCGCATACATATATATAATGGAAAAATTGATTTGAAAATTTTCTCTTTACGAAACAATTTATTGTTCTTTACGTACTGTTTTTTTTTCTCGGAGACAAGCGATTCTATACCTGCGCATTCATGTGTACATTCGTAGATAGTTGAATTCAGTTGCGCGTCAACCGAGCGTCCAACTATCGATCCATCTTGAATAATTTCGCGAGCAGTTCTTTACCTGGTACTCAGTATTTCAGTTATTTACTTCAACGTTTCTATATAATATAGACGGGAGTCCAAAACTTTTTTTTCTTCTTTTATTACTAATATTTTGTTTTGTTTTGTTTTTTTTAAATTTGAATGTAAAAATATAGAAATAGAATTAGGAGGAAAAGGAAAAAGAAGATAAATTTGAGAATAAAAAAAAAAATTAAAATATGTAAATTCCATTTTTTTATTTTCAAATATCGACTTTAAGATTTGAATACATTTACTTCCAAAATTTTTAAAAATTTACTAATTAATTAATTGTTATTTATTATTTTCAAAAATAATAAATTTGAATAAATTTCTACCCAAGGAGGAATTTTATTATAAAGATTATAATATTTTAATTTATAAATGAATCTATAATCATTTAAAGATGATTTATATAATTATAAAATATAGTTATTATAATAATTTTAATAAAAAATGTAAATAATACAGAAAAATTATTTTATATAATAAAAATTATTTTTACAGAATTTTTTTTGTGTTTTTTTAATTAATATTTATAACTTGCGTTTGCGAATATTTTAATGATTTAATGCCAAGTAAATTATGACACAAATATCTTCTAATATTATATATATTATTTTTGATAGAAAATTCAGATATACATCAATATTTCATATATAATTAAAAATTATAATTTTATTACGGAAATTTTTACATTAATTTGGCGGAACTTTTTTTGTTCGTTAATTTAATTCACGTTGACAGATTTTCAATGAATTTTTAATGCACTGTCATAAAATGAATCCTTTTGCAAAAAAGAACGGGGGAAAAAGGTGCGAATAATTATTTTTCAGTTACCTTTACTTTTATTTTTGGTTTTAACTTTTTGAAAATGGAGAAGTTGTCTCTTGGTGAATTTTTACTTAAATTTATAATAAAAATACATTTTCCTCCTTTTTAAAAAAAATTCAATTCTAATTATTAATAAGTTAATTAATTAGTAATTAATTAGTAATTAATTAGTAATTAAATAATTAGTATTTAATTAAATACTATTTTCAATTATCATGTAATTAATATTGAATAAATATTAAATTTTATTGACTTTCTAAATTAAATTAATAACTAAATTTACTCTCTGAATTTGAATTAGTTTACAAATTTAAAATTTACAAATTAATTAGTTTACAATCATCTAATTAGCAATAACTGAATTATAAATTAATAATTAAATAAAATTTTAATAATTGTTCTCAATTAATTATCGTCTAATTAATAAACAAATTCGTCTGAATAATAAATAAATTAAATTATAATTATTACAGTCAAAGAATTATGATCTAATTATTTCACGTTTTTTTTATCCAAACAATTTAATAGTAAATTTTTTTTAAAATGAATTATAAAGAAATCACTTAAAAATTTTAGCAAACTTAGAATTAAAAAGAATAATTAAACATTTTAAATACTAAATAATTTGTTTAATTAGCAATAACTAACAAAATTAAATTAATAATTACAGAAAATAATAATTGTGTTTTTATTTCATTTTAAGAAATATATTCAATATACAAATAATAATAAATATTAATCAATTATCGTCCAATTAGTAATAAATAAATTATCTAATAATTATTATGAAGAAATTTTTTCAAAACTTTGATAAAACTAAAAAAAATTTTTTTTAGAATTAATTTTAATTGAAGTATATTATTAAATTGTTGGATTAAAAATAAAACGTAATATGAAAAATTATGCTAATTAAGATTTTATTATTATTAAATAATTATAAACGGAGTTTAAAAAAACGAAAAAAAAGAAAAATTCACTGGGACTTAGGTTTATCGTCGGGAGCTAATAAGTCTCTCCATTAAATCCTCTGGATACAAGCCAAGGGCTACATAACATGACCTTAGCCCACTTTGTATGTCTGTTCAGCTTCTTTTTGAATTTCAAAAATTACTTTTAATTTAATTATACTAAATTCATTTTTTTCCCTCAGTTTAAATAATTCCCTATTTTAATTCCAAAAAAAAACCTTTTTTCCGCACTTTATCTGTGTACCATTTTTGTGAAAAGTACAAAAGATTTTTTAAAATAGAATTAAAATCTAAAAATTTTTACCTTCATATCCAGCATACTGAAAAAGAGACTAAAAAAAAGTAATTAACTAGAAATTTTTTTCTGAATTGAAATTCGAAATAAAAAATGTGATTTCACACTAAATATTATAAAAAAAGTGCTGTTATCTTTGTCGTATAAAGAATTTTCTTCTCTTTTCATAATAAAAATTGAGAGAAAGAAAATCAAAGACTAAAATCAACTAAAATTGAAAAAAGAGAAATAATGAGAAAAAATGGGAGGGAAAGGGGTAAAATTTAAAAATTTAAGAAAAAGAAGATAATGAAGATGTATAAGCAAAAGAAGAAATGTATATGGTTGGAATATTTAATTAAATGTCGGGGGGAAGGGAGAGGGGGGCTAAGAATATTTAAGAAGGATATAAACCATCTGCCTCGTTTCTTACTAGTCTTAATTAAATTATTCTTATTTTAAATTTCTCGTTATACTCACTTTTGTTCTTCTTTATTCGATTAGCATTAAATTATTGAATTATTCGTATTATTATCGAGTTTAAAATTATTTGACGTATTATTTAATAAACGAATAAAACTCACGTACACAGAGAAAAGAATTTTTATCTATTTTTATATTTTTAAAAAGTCATTTTCCCCCGTAGTTTCACTAATAAGAGAATTAAATAATTGATGAATTTAATTACTAGTGAATGAATATGAATTATTCAATTATAATTAGTTAACTAATTAACTATAATTATAATAAAATTTATATTTTAATAAAAATTTTTTATTTTTTTTTAAATTTTAATAATTTCCTTGCAAATAATTCAATTATTTTGAAAAACAGTAAAATTCTTCGCAAGAATTGAATTATTTTTGTAAGTAATAAAATTCTTCGCAATAATTGAATTATTTTGTGATTCTAATTTTAAACAGACACGATTATTTTAAAAAGTTTAAAAAAATTCCTTCTTTAATTCAATTATTTTCAAAATTTTCAATTAAAATTGTTCAGAAAACTGTTACAATATTCTCAAAAAACTTGAAGAAATTCTTCAAAAGAAGTTTATTATTATTATATATGAAAATAATTGAATATTCTTCGATTTAATCAAAAAATTTGAAAATAATTGAAATCCTTCGATTTAATAAAAAAATTTGAAAATAATTGAATTCTTGTAAAGAATATAATAAAAAAATTTACAAATAATTGAATTCCTTCGATTTAATCAAAAAATTGAAAATAATTGAATTCTTGTAAAAAATTAAATGAAAAAATTTGAAAACAATTCAATTCTTCCGAGAATTATATTATTTATGAAAGTAATTGAATTCCACGAAGGAATTCACTTATTTTCAAATTTTTTTTTATTAAATCGAAGAATTAAATTTTTTTTATAAATATTAAAATTCTTCAAAGGAATTCAATTATTTTGATAATTTTCTTTAAATTCTTTGCAAAAATTTCTATGAATTTTTTTAAATCATGAGATTTCTTTAAAAATTTGATTTGGAAATTTTTTAAGAAATTGAATTTGATAAAGAATTTTTTTTATATTTTCTAAAAAATAAATCGTGATTGTTAATAATTGAAATTAAATATTTGATTATTGAATTTTTAGATAATAATTAAATTTTTTGCAGAATTTTATTGGAATTTTTTAAATAATTTAATTTATTTAAGGAATTTTATGAAAATATTGAAATACCTAGTTGAATTCTTTCGAAGAATTAGAAATTTTAACAAGAATTGAATTCATTCAAAAAATTCCATTAATTTTTTCAATATAATCGATTTTGTTAATAATTGTAATTAATAATTTTACTATGAAATTTTATTAAAATTATTGATATAGAAAATAAATTTTTTTTAATAATTTTATTTGGTTTCTTTGTAAACACTTAAATTCTTTTGAAGAATTTTTTCAAGTTTCTGAAAAATAATGTTTTTTTTTAAATAATTTTAATTGTGAATTTTGAAAATAATTGAATTAAATAATAAATTTTTTTCAACTTTTTAAAATAATCGTTACCTAATAATTAGAATTAAAAATTTTATTATTGAATTTTATTAAAATTGTATTGAAGATAATTGAATTCCAGAGAAGAATTTATTATTAGAATTTATTTATTTATAAAAACAATTTAATTCTCGCGAACAATTTTACTAGTTATAAAAATAATTGAATTGTTTCGAAGAATTTATGAAAGTTTTAGAAAATAATGCATTTTTTCGAAAAATTTTATTAATAATTACAATTATAACAATTCATTAATTTAGACTAATAATTAATTCATTAAAATGAACTATTAATTTTTCTTTATTTTTTAAGAAATAAGAGTTAAAATTATACTAATGAAAAAAATCAAAACTGAAAAGAAGGAAAAAATTAAAATCGAATTAATTAATTTTTATACAGTCGATTTATTTAAATTGAGATTTAATTATTTTTTTTTTATTTTTAGGAAACGAAGAGGCCGTCGAAGGAAATGCAGGTGACAATAGCACGACAGCTGGGCCTGGAGCCCACGACGGTCGGAAACTTCTTTATGAATGCACGACGCCGTTCAATGGACAAATGGAAAGACGAGGACCCAAAAGCCCTTGCAGTTGATGAAGGACAATTGTCCCCATCGCTTGGTATTAGTCCACGACAAGCTTCTGACGTTTTGTGACATACGTCCGACCACGAGGAGTATCACGACGAGTCACCCGAAGAGGATCTTCCTTTTTCGTAAAAAAAATAACATCAAAAACTCTCGTTGAATTACAAAAAGAAAATTGATTTCAAATTTCCTTCTCTTTTGATATTTCGAGGTGATGAATTTTTTTTCTCAACATTCTATTATTAATTGTGTGAATAAGTAATTAGAATTGAATTTAAAATTCAATTTCGAAATTGAATTTAAATTTTTAATTACGAAATTGACTTTTAATTGCAATTACGAAATTGAATTTGAAATTCAACTACAAAATTGAATTAGAAATTCAACTACAAAATTGAATTGGAAATTCAATTACAGAATTTAATTTAAAATTCAATTACTAAGTTGAATTTTAAATTCAATTGCAAAATTGAATTTTAAAATTTAAATAACGAAGTTGAATTTTAAATTCAATTCTGGAATTTTATATTTAATTCTAGAATTTTAAATTCAATTCTCTGTTGAATTGAAAATAAAATTGCAAAATTGAATTTAAATCTCAATTTCGAAATTGAATTTAAATTTTTTATTACGAAATTGAATTATATTTTATAATAATTCTTTTTATTCTTATTATAATTAAAATTTTCTAAATCAAAAAACACTTTCACTCATAAATATATATTTATTTCGAATAACAATAATATCAAATCCAAAAATTTGATTAATCGAAGAGAATGAAGAAAAAAAACAATCGATTATCAAGAAGAATGATGTGAAAAAATCAGAAAAAAAGAATTAATAATAGAAAAACTTTTTTTTCTTCTCATAAATATTCTAAGTGAAATATCAAAAGCAAATGAAAAGAAATCAATCTAAAGCCGCAGTTGTCGACGATGAAAATCCATCGTCTCTCTTAGTGAAAAATAATCGAATCTCAAACAGCGATCAGTATTTATGACGTTTATTATATATGCTTTATGTTACACAAGAGAGAGTCGAAATTCGATCGAATGAAACACGTGATGATGCGATACAAACAATGCACGTTTCAATTTACGTGAATTCTTTAATTTGTATCGCTTTTAAAATTGCCAGTGCCTCTGAAATTCGTTTCAAAGAAACAAAATAAAAAAAATCTATTTAAGAAAAATTTTTCATTAATTATTAAATTAGTAGAGAAAAAAAGAGTTTCGATTGAATCTATTATGAGTGGAGAAAAAAAATTGTTCGAACAAGTGAAGAATTTGCTTTAACTTATTAGAACATGTTTCAATTGGTTTTAATTTCAATATTTGGATAATTATTTAAATTATATTTTAAATTGTAGTGCAAAATTTTTTTTTCAATTTTCTGTAGAAAGAAACGAAAATTTGTTCAAACTGGTCAAAATTGGTTCAAAAAACCAAAAATTTGTTCAAACTGGTCAAGATAAAAAAAATGAAAATTTGTTCAAACTGGTCAAAATTGGTCAAAAATTAACCAACAAAAAAAAAATTGCTCAAAAGCAGAAGAAAAATTGATAGGAAAAAATTGAAACTTGTTCTAAAAAGTCCAAATTGGTTCAAAAAGCCCAAAACTAGTTCTAGCGGATTAAAACTTGTTCTAACAACTTAGAATTTATTTAAAAAGATAAAGACTGTTTCTAACTGGTTAAAGTTAGTTCTAATAGATACGAAACTTTGCTTCAGTGATTCAGAACTTCTTCTAAAAAAGAAGAAAAAATAAAAAAAGAACATTTTTTTTAATAAAAAAAAAATTATTAAAAAGATGATGAAAAATTTTTTTTAAATCCCACGTATTGGATTTTAATCGATATTGTTTCGATTCATGACCTCTGCTCAATGATTTTTAATCTAGTGCCATAAATTGCCATTGTTTTTATTACATTTAGGATTATTATTTCTTAAAGTACATTCTAGTCGTTACATCGTTCAGGGAGGAAACTGTTCTTTTTTAGTTAATTAAATTAATTATTATTATAATATTATTTGATAAATAATATAGTAATATTATAATAAATTAATTTAATTAATAATTAAAAAACTTAACCAAATGTTTATTTTTTTAAGTTTAATTCGAAAAGCAATTTTAATTGTTGCTTTGCAAATTAATTACAAAAAAATTTACACTAATTTAGAATAAATTTTGTACAATTTACAAAATTTATAAATAAATTCACGAATAATTAATATGCCAAGCAATTTTTTATTTGCCGAATCTAGTCAAAGTTGGAAATTATTCTTTTTCGTTTGCTCTCCAATTTCTCTTTGAAAATAAAAGACAGATTTTTCAAATTTCTACAAGAATGAAATTTAACAATTTAAAGATTTAAATTCACTTTTTTTTCTATTAAAAAAATTACGTTATATATATTTTTTTTGCAGAATATATGATTTGAAATCAATTTGTAAATCTTGGAAAAAAGTAAAAGCAAAAAGTTGAGCGAAAGAAAAAATAGTGGAGAACGAAATATGGTTCAAGTGAAAAGTAAAATTTCCTTTTGCAAACAGGATGTTGCGTGACTCATTTCATCTTGTCGCTCTTGTTTATAATTTTCCTCGCTCCTATTGCCCTTTTTGCAAATTTTATGAGCGATAATAATAAAAAAAAAATTCTACTCACACTACTTTACATTTATTAAAAGCTAATGAGACATAATATTTCAAATAAAAAAAAAATCTCATGTAATTTACTTTTTTATTTAACTGTACAATAATTTTCAAAGAAAAAAATTATTTTTGCTCCATATTTTTATTTTTTCAAACGATTGGAAAATGAATTAATAAAAAATTTCTTTTCTTTTTTTTTAACTATAAAATTTAGAAGGAAAAAAATATTTTTGCTCCAAATTCTTTTCGAACGATTAGAAAAATAAATTAATAAAAAATTTAGTCTTGAAAAAAGTTTTTTATAGCTCCATTTTTTCCAAACGTTTGAAAAAAAATTCTTAATCGTTCAATTAAAATTGAAATCTCAATCTTTCGTTTAAAATTAAAATAATTCTCCGAATATTTAGCTTTGATAGAATAAAATAGAATAAAAAAAGGTGAATTTAATTCTTTAATTGTTGCATTATTTCTAAATATCAAATTAATAAAAAATTCAAAATTAAATTCCGATATTTACGCTGGAAAACATTCTCGAAATATTCTCTCAATAATATTTGTTTATATGAACATAAAATTCGAATTAAAAAAAAATCGATACTAAAAGCTTTGCAGAGGAGAGCAAAAAAAAAGAAAATAGAATTTCCAATTTTATTCTTACTTTATAAAAACGAATACAATTTTTATATTTATCACGTCAGAAAAAAATTGTGAGATTATGAAATATTTAAGAGAAAAATATGTTAATTAACATATTGCGAAGAATTTCGTTTAGACGACAAAAAAAAGAGACAAACAAAAAAAAAGAGAGGGTAGATAAATCATCGAGCAACTAGTGGCAGCTCAAGTCAACGAAAGTAGACTCGTCAATTCCTCGTTGGTCACGTAAGTGTGAAAAACGTTTTTACGGGCATGTGCTAACGCGGTGAACTTTTTGCACGTGCACCAAGTGATATATACATATATATAGATATATATTATATATATAATATCTATGGATGGACGCTCTTGTGAAAAATAATAAAAAAAAGCGAGTAAAAAAGGAGAGAGAGAGAGAGAGAGAGGATAGATAATGTTAACTGCGGTGCATCGGTGCAAAGGAGAACTCAGAGTCGCACTCAATATCGCGCTGTATTGTGAGCTGTGCTTTTGTACATACGAAACTTTTATTACGTAAGCGGTGTTGTGAGAGAAAAAAAATGAGGGAATGAGAAGAAGAATGGTTCCGCAAATACCGGCATTAGCCCAGTGAAAAAAAAATTTTTTTTTTACTTTTTTTTCAAAAAAAGAAAAAAACTAATCTAACAAAATGAAGGAAGTTACAACATCCACGTTTTGAGTTTCAGAAATTCGATGAAATTCTCGAATTGGAAAATTTTGTTCTCCATTGTGTCTTGAATTGACATTTTCTATTTTGACTATTATTATTATTTTTAATAATAGTCAAATAGAAAATGTCATTATTAAAAATAATAGTCATTATTATCTTTAATAAAAGTCAAATAGAAAATGTAATTTTTAATTAATTAAAATTAATTAAAAATTAAAAGGAAGAAAAAGCAAATTTTTAAAAGTGGGTTTTTAATTTGGTCAAAAGCAGAGTTTTTATTTAACTTGTTTATATTTCAATTTTATTTGCTTCGAAAGTAATATTGTATTTGTGTTTAGAGAAATTTTTTTTATGTTGAAGAAAATTTTTTGTGTTAAAGAAATTTTTATATACTAGAAAAATTGTTTTTGTGATAAAGAAAATTTTTTTTTTAAACTAAAAAAATTGTTTTTACGTTAAAGAAATTCTTTTGTTGTCAACTAAATTCTTTATTTACGTTCAAATGAATTTTATTTCCTTTAAAAGAAATATATTTGTGTTTGAAGAAATTATTTTTATGTTAAAGAAAATTTTTTGTGCTAAGGAAATATTTTTTACACTAAAGAAATTTTTTTTGTGCTAAAGAGAATTTTTTACCTAAAGAAATCATTTATTAAACTAAAAAAATCTTTTTTTAGCTTAAGAAATTTTTTGTGCGAAAGAAATTTTAGATAAGTACTAAAAAAATTTTTGTTTTGCTAAAGAAACTTTTTATGCTAAAAAAAATTTTTTTTGATAATCAAATCTTTTTTGTGCTAAAGAAATCCTTTTAGTGTCAAATAAATTCTTTATTTAGTTTTATTTGTAGTTATTTTAAACTTAAAAATTTATTTACTCCCAAAAAAAAATCATTATTTGTAACAAGTAAATTCTTTATTCAATTTAATTTTAGATTTCTTTACATTTACTTGAAATAAATTTTATTTAACATTGAACTTGAATAAAAATTTTATTTTGCGTCAAGCCAACAGTTTGTTTGAACTAAAAAGAATTTTATTTAATTTACTAAAATTTTTATTTAATTAAATTCTATTCATTGAACAAAAAAATTTTGTTTACGTGCTAAATAAATATTTCATTTTGCTATTTTTAATGAAGAATACTTTTATTTAATACTTACAATACTTTTGCTCAATTAAATTTTATTTTACGAAAAAAAAAAATTTCTCTTTAATGACAATATTTTATTGTTATTTTCTTTTTAAAGAAAAAGAAAAATACTAATGGATAAA